GTCGGCTGGCAGTTCGTCTGCAACAAGACGCCTGATGCGCTGTACTCAAGAAGCCCCGTTGAGGATAGTGTAGTGTATTGCAGATGCGAACCGATTTGATTCTGCATCATGAACCAGGGCAACACACGACTCTACGATTACTATCACTATCAGTATCATTTCTGCTATGATTACTATAATTAACATGATTACTGGTATTAATACTGTTATTACTTTATGTATTCATGTCATGGCCACAGCCGCGTCAGGATGCACAGGCCCCTGCTCTAGGCTTGTCATGATTTCCTTGGAGTTGCCGCCCAGAGTTTGGGTAGCCATTGCAAAGCCTCAGCAAAGGCCGGAAAAAATTGTACATCGTCGTGAAGCTTAAAAACAACACTCACAGACTCACTTGACGTATATCTCATTGCCATTACTTTGCACAATCTGGTCACTGCGGATTTTCCCTTCATCCTACGACTACTATCTTGCACACGCCCTTTGCTACTGGTGCTATACTTTCTGTTCTCTTGTCCCCACAACACCTGGAAATCCTCAAGTACCTTCGATTTGCCTCCAACTTTATTTTTTTCTCCATCCCTCCCTCGTGTGTGTACACGTGTGCATGCAGTGAAGGGAGTAGGCGGCTAGCTAGTCATCATCCTTGGAGCTTTCAGGTCTTGGTTTCCGGCTTAGCGATTTCTCCTCGCCATGACCCCATAAAATCAATCACATTTTGTTTGAAGTTCTTTCAGGGCCCTCCTCTTGGTCTTGCTCCAACTCCTGACCGTCAGCGGTGCTACATTGCCAACATTCATTTTTCCAGGGATGAACGTTTGATAATGAGGCGGGGATAATTGGAACTTGTGTCTGATCCCATATGCTGTATATCCTAACCCCGAAAACCAAGATGTTGCTTGTGGCACACCCAAAAAATGCTCAGAGTGCCGCAAGTGGCCGCCCAGGCGGTTTCTGCCTTGAACGCAGCTTCTCAAATTAGGATTTGCGTGAATCTTCTTTTTAGGCCCAGGGCTTGGGGCTGTCGGGGTTTGAGTTTCTTTGCTTCCTTTTTCAAGGACCTTTTGCCTGCTGTCTGGCAGTCGGAATGCTTTTTCAAACGCACCCATGGACAAGAGAGTTGTGAGTTTTGGGTACCACAGTGAAGCACATTTAGTAACCATAGCACTGGAACATGGCTTACATGACCTACTCGTAATTCAAACTTGAGAGCCGCGCACATGGTTTACTGGTAGCGGTTAAACTGTAGACAGCTTCTCAAAACCAACTCCGCAGTTCAGCGTATCCAGCTTAAACCTAGAGATTTCCATTCATGCCGCAAGCGGTTATAACACTCCAAATATGCGCGACTGACTTTTTTGATGCGCGGGGATCACGTCTGTGAAGGCGAGGTTCCTTAGACGTCCCAAGTTCGGGGGCTGGACGGGGCGCTATAGCACGCACTGGCACGGGGTTGAGCGCGCGGCCCACCCATGGACATGCTAAGATCACAGAAACGACCGGATTTGACCAACAAAGTGGTAATGCACCTTTGGAAGGTATTCCGGAAGACTGCTGGGGAAATCTCTAGAATTGGAGATTGTAGGGTTGGGGTTCAGGCGAGAATCGCGTGAGCAAAATGCACAGATAAGTACATGCCTGGGCTTGTACAGCAGGCAACTCCTAGCAGGAAATTGCGTAGTTCTTCAGAAATTATGAAGATATGAGCTGTAGTCTAGACTGTTAGTATCCCCCTTATTAATAACCTTGCTTAGAGCGGTCCCCTATATACTCCCTTGTATAATATAAAACCCCTTTAAGGAGTTCAGACAAACTATGGCCAATGTGTGACAGGATGGAGCGCCCTTGGAGGGTCCTAAAGCGTAAGCTGTAATTTTGGACGCTGCGCACCGTCGAGCAAAGACAAGGCGCGGACGTGATCTACGCTCTCACGAGACCTGCACACTGCAGCTACAAAGGCTGGGTTTAGGGTTGAGTGGGGTCCCTGTAGCAGTCCCGAAATCAGCCCTCAGTCCTGCATCCCTCGCTACATGCTTGCCTAGATTGGAATGGATCGTGGATGGAATTCCAAGGTAGAATTCCAGTTTGGAATTAGGCACCATTTTCAAGTTCTGGCTTCAGGGCTTCGCTTCCGCTGGTGCCAACTTACTGGGGTTCGTACAGTGAGGAATAGCGGAATACTGTTGGTGGAGGAAATCTTGCACCACCTTAAGTCCCTGAAGTCCTAGGAATTACAGTAGTTTAGGGCCCCTAAGTGGTGCAAGATTTCAGCCATCAACAGTATGTGAGAGAGGGATTTTATTCTAGGGTTGCCTACCCTTATTCTCTACTAACCACCAGTAAGCCACTTTCTTTGACTCATCAAGATATTGTGGATATCATAAATCTCAGCATGACTAACAATGCAGTAACTACCGCGATTTCCCAGATGTAGGGCGCTTAGCGAAACGAGCTGTGACATGCAGCAGATCAGCCATATCCCATAGCTCCCGGGACTAGCTCACGCTTCTGGATACGCATCTTGCAATGGCCGTTACGATGGGAGTTTCCGAACATCATGTGCAGCTTGCCGGAGATAAGAAACATGTTGTTGCTTGGAACACCTGGAAGCCCCTTAACTGAGAAGCTGCCAAACGGGCCAAAAGCCAATTCATGGGGTTAGGTGAAAACACTAGCAGATCTTTGGCTACCTATCGTCACTTCCGTGAAAGGGGGCGCGCGTCGGTTCGGGAACCATGTTGCGGGAACCATGAACGCATTTCGGGAACCATGAAAGCCGTTTCGGGAACCATGAAAGCCATTTCGGCAACCATGGAGGTCGTTTCGGAAACCATGAAAGGTCGTTTCGGGAACCATGAAAGCGCGTTTCGGGAA